AGACACCGGCAATGGCTTAGAGGTTGTGGACGGCTGAGATACTGGAAATGGGATAGATGTCGGTGGTGGCTGAGATACCGGGAATGGCTTAGAGGCCGGTGGTGGCTGAGATGTTGGGAATGGCTTAGCAGATGACGATGGTTGTGAGAATGGCTTAGAGTTTTTTGTTGGTGTTGGTGTTGGCTGGGACACGGGGAATGTGTTAAACGTTGGTGGTGGCTGAGACATCGGGAATGGCGTAGACTTTTGTGATGGCTGAGACACAGGGAATGGGTTATTAGACTTTTGTGTTGGCTGAGACACAGGGAATGGGTTATTAGACTTTTGTGTTGGCTGAGACACCGGGAATGCCTTAGACTTCTGTGATGACTGAGACACCGGGAATGGGTTAGAGTTTAGCGTTGGCTGAGACACCGGGAACGGCTTAGATTTTTGTGATGACTGAGACACATGGAATTGCATAGTGTTTGTTGATGGCTGAGACACCGGGAATGGATTGGAGTTCTGTGGTGGTTGAGAGACCGGGAATGGCTTAGAGTTTTGTGATGACTGAGACATCGGGAATGGCTTAGAGGTAGGTGGTGGCTGAGACACTGGGAACGGGTTAGCGTTCAATGAAGGCTGAGACATTGGGAATGGCTTCGAGACCAAAGGCTGCTTAGCGACCGGCTGCGGTTTAGAGACTGAATGTGACTGATTCGGCCGACCTGGCTGCGATACACGAGGTGGTTGCTCAGAAACCGAAGGTAGCAAGGAGAGTTGAGCAGCTTCAGTAGACCTACTAGATGACTGAAACTGCCTAACAGGCTCAGAGGATTGCCACGGTACAGTCTCAGTCGTTGGAGTAGGCTTAGACGGCCATGTCAAATCAGTAGAAGGAGTCCTATGAGATGATGTCTCATACGATCTACCACTAGACAACGGTCGATCTGGCTCATTGAAACGACGACTAGATTGCACCCTTTCGGTTGCATTGTTCAAATTTATCAATCTCTCTTCCTCCACATGAAGTTTCCAATCTCTACCACTACTACTAGAACCACCACTCCTAATTGACTCACTTTGCTCTTGACCAAACTGTTGTCTCCATGAAGCTTGTTGTTGCTCTTGCATCAACTGTTGTTGATCAAACTGTGACCTTTGTTGTTGAGCAAAGTGTGGATGTTGCTGAGGTTGTTGATGAAGCTGAAATGGTAATTGCTGGTTCTGAAACGACGTCGT